TAAGATCCAAGCAAAAGTACGCGTCGGTCGTCTGGAATCCAAATTATGATAAATACACGAATATAATAGAAAATGTTCAAGGAAGGTCATTAATGCCTCAATTTCCGCTCTAACTGGTAGATCATGGATTCTCATAAGAGAGTATTATGTGATTTTATAGGTTGACATGCTTGAGTTTGAGACGTGGATAATTTGATATATGTTTCTCCTACAAATTAATTAATGACTCAATAGGTTCTGCTGTATGTAGGGGCTCATAAACTTTTATTGTCCTCCACATCTAGTTAAAAATCGTACAATACTGATTGTGGGAAGAGAAAACCAAATTATATGTAGAATTCGTCCATCCTTATATCCTTTCATAGACTAAACTTGATCAGTAGGACTACTAATTTGGTACAAACATGAATGATATTTCAGTCTCAAGAATAGAAATGTCAAACGTTTTCGAAACGTTCGTTTTTTTCCTAATTATGTAAATAATCATCTAATAAGAATCTAAGTAACAAATACAAAGCACTTCCAGTGTTTCAAGTGAAATCTTCTGGATTACAATTTGTTTTTTTTTATTATTCAATAATCAACTGGTAACTGTAACATAAACAAAGTAGGTAGCGAACACTAGTTCAGTATGTTGCAAAAATAATGAAAAAAATTAAATAAGTTTTAAAAAACAACATGAAAGAAAGAACAATGTTCAGCGAATATTGAGAAGTGATAGATCTGTAGCAAAAGATAAATATGATTGCTGTCTCGATGTGCTTCCAGAGATATCAGGCTTCGGTAATATTAGTTTGATGTCATGTTCTTTGACATATGAAATATCTGGCTCGTTTGGATTGTGAAATTTATTTATCGATTTCTGCCGTAGAAAACTAATGCAATATTCCCATTTTTCATTACGACTCTCCAATACTATGCCGACATAATATATTTGAGTTTTTTTTGTAGAAAATTCAACCAAAACATATTCACCCTCTTGTGGTGTATGAGACAATGGCCTCTCCAAATAATTGGAAGTGATAGGGACAGGACGATTTTCTACTTCTTCATCAAACCAATCATTATCCTCATCAGACTTTTGATACGGAATTTCAAGAAGTTCTTCATTTTCGGAATCACTATGGAGAATCTTCTTAGCTGTTTTTCTTTTTTTAGCTTCTTTTCGCTTTTTGGTCAAATTTTTATCCATTTCGATTTCCAGTTTTTCCGGGGTATCTGTTGCGATTAAACTTCTTCCCAATTTTCTTGTTTTCCTTTTGGATTTTCTAGGTCCTGCCTTTATTGGGTTTCTGAATTCAAAGGGAGATATTATCTTCGATTTTTTAACAACAATCGAGGGAGTTGTTTCTGCGAATGTTACAAGGTTTATATTAGCAACCAACTCTATCGGTGGTGGAGGAGGTGATGATATTAAATTACCCGAAATCTCAGAATTTCCGTAAGCTGAAGGTGTAGGTTCTCGATCATTAGACTCTTGCAAGATTGATGGAGAATCATTTTTTTCAAGAGAGGTAATGTTGTCTAAAGATTGTAAAGTCACCGAAACATTCTCTGCTAAATTTGATGCAGATCGAACGTCTTCTTCAAATATAACCTCAGAGCTACTTGAAAATCGAGAGTTAGCCAATTTGGTCGTAGCCTCCAATTGAAATGAATCCTTTATAGATGGACCTGATATATTCATATCGTTATAATCTTGGAAAAGTGGAGGTTGTATTGCAGATGCTTCTTCACGTGGTTCACAAGACTGATTTCTGGATTTCTCTTTCTAAAATTTAAAAGCTAGTTTTTTCCTGCCATTTCATTCTTTTTCCACGAATCTGGCATTTTTAAATTATTAACATGTGCCATTTGGTATGCTATTCTTCGGCATTCTTTCGTACTCAATCCGTAAAACAGCAGTGCACAATATGTAAAATAATCCTTCAAATTTTTTTCTTGCTCTTCATTGAAAACTTTGTTAATGCTATAATTTGGCGTTGAAGTAGCCTGATCGATATTCATATTTTTTATTTTATGGAAATAACGTCTCAATGTAGTGAAAGGAATGACCGATAGTTTTGACGCTTTTCTCACACTCATACCATTTTTTATGTTTTCCAAGGCTGCTTTCATGTCATCAGCTGTATGTTTTCCGATTGTACGGGGCTTTGCCGGACGACCCATGCTGTAAAAGAAATATACCGACAATTATAATATTTTTCTAGGATTAAATTAAAGTATGAATATCAATTATTAACAGTTAGTACACAGTGGATCATGAGCCACTGTGTACTCAATCGCCATTTTGAGTTTAACCTATACCACGCACGACAATTTTCCTTAAATGAAGTTGCTATATACGCGAAAATTGCCTCAATTAAACTTATTTCATACTCAAATACAGAAAACAATTTGAAAATTTCTCTTCGTATTTTATGACTTTTAAGAGACATTTGAAAAATAATTTTTTCATGAGTTATCCTCTCATGATGTATTCCCTCAATTTTTCAGAAGAAGTAATTATTTTGTGTTGAAGATCAAATGATCTAAATAGTCAATGTATCAAAAACTTCATTTTGATAATATGTTTTTCTAAGATGTGTAAAAAATTTCTTTGAGAAATATATATCGAAATCTTTTGTTTATAATCAACCTTTGTAATATGTGCTCCTCGTTTATAGGACAGTTTTCACCTGTCTATTGAGTGAGCACTTGTATAAGAAAATAAAAATGAAAAATGAAAAAATGAAAAAAAAATTGAATGATCATAAAACAATTCTGTTTAGTCTTGATAAACAATCATCATACTTCAAGTGTCTGACAGACACATCACGGTGTTTTCGTAGTATTTCTGGAGAAGACGGTTGGCAGAAATGGTGGATTTTCGTCTGAAGATTTTAGTGAACTATATGAACAATAATAAGTGAAGAACCGAAAACACGATACGACGTCGCTAAGCATTCAGTAATCCCTTTTATCAAAGCAACTTAATTCAGAAATATGTCCGTGAGATACTACTGGATTACTAACAGTTTGTTGAATGTATTGTCGAGAAAAATTATCATCAAACGCTTTTTTTTGTTAGTAAATAATGTGTTTCAGTTGCACCACTATCTTCTTCTCAGAATACAGCCGCATTTTTTTATAAGAATTTTAGAATTTTCTGTTAATAGATATTCCATGAATTCTCTTCATTATTGTTTTCATGCTTCCTCAGATCAAACATAATGAAATTCCCTCCTTCAAACTCCAGCAAAACAAAAATTCATTGTATTGAGTATCCTTCACTAATCCAAATCAAAGTGGAAGAAAATTACCGAATAGAGCATACTAGCTCGGCTTTTTGATGGTACCATATTACATATCTGAAATAAATTTTTTTCTATGCTCACGAATTCACACGCTGAGTTTATTATAGATTGATAATAAAGCTTTCTCGTTCGAGTTATGTGAAAGTGGAATTTTTCAAACAACTATCTTTATCTGATACACTACGTCTGGTAGTTTATAACATCCCTCCTATATTCTATGTCAGCTTAACTGTCACTTAATTGAATTTATGCACATTTATTATGCATAAATACTTAAGAGGTAGTTCCCAAACGAATACGGAATTGCAGGTTATTGAATAGCTGGAATTTAGAGTATGCTGGAATTTAGGGTACATAAACTATTTTCCGGAACGATATAATCTCTAATGAAGCATACCATCCCTTTATAAATTAGTGATGATATTGAAAATGTATTGGTATTGCTCCGTATTTATGAGACAAAATGGTTAAATTGAGGTCGATAAAAAGAGAATTTGATTGCTACACGCATTCAAAACATGTTCTTTCGAAATAATTATGGTCAAATTACAGTCAATACATCGTACAATTAACAACCAACTAGTGAAATTAATTTCGTTGAATGATACCTAAACTCAGGGAACAAAGTTAAATTTATCTGCCATTTTCAATATATATTCATTTTATATAAACGCAGCACAGGCTGTTTAGAATATTTTTTCTATTCAAATGACATAAATGGTATAATATGTAAGACACCTTTAAACATGAATAATTATCATATTGAAGGAAAATAGATAATAAAAAAGACCAATCGAATTCCTAAATTCAAGAATCGCAAATCAAAATCAAATCAAATCAAAAACGTTTATTGAGTCAAAGTAATATTACATTTCATTTGATTAATAAATAATTACAAATGGGAAGTTGTAGAGTCTCGCGACTCTCTTCAACCCCTGTATTTTATAGTATAATGTGATACAAAAAAAAACAGAATTTATTTTCACATTAACAAGTATGAAAAAAAAAACAAGAAAATATATTTCTCAACATATACTCATTTCGAGTATTCATGAATATTTATGAAATAATTTTGCGTCTGTGGCCGGCTCATACATTACGTGCCATTTGGTCAAATGTCCGATTTTCAATTCATCAGACATTTGATGGTAAAGGAAACCACAGAAAACTTTACCCAGGTAAGAAAAACGCAAATCCCTAGTTACGCTAGACCTCAATTCTTCAATCATCTGCCAAGATAGTTCCGTGGGTTCCCATTCTGGTTTTTGAACGTGAACTCACGGATTTTATTGTCTGTAGATGCTACAGATGAGAATGATGCTCGACTGGTGAATATTTGTTTTCTTACAGTTTTTCTTATTTTTTGTACTTTATCAATGTGATGTTCGTGAGGGACTATATTTTATACGTGTTCACTCAATGTATTTTGACTTACGTCTAATGAACTATCTCATCTTATCTTATTCTTACCTTATATGAATATTCTATTATTATCCGAAAAAACTTTTCTGAGAATGAATATTATTGTTTCATAAAAATTCGACATATTTCGATTTTGACGTTGAAAAGAACTAAAAATGCTCTATGAGCCAATCTCTGCATGTGAGCCAATGAATGGAACTTGCCTTCCGATTGAAAATGAAATAAGTTTGTTAATAGTGCATAACTAATTTTCTCCTGGTAAATTCAATCTCATTCGCTAATGTCTTCGTGGCTTAGTCGGGAAAATACACGACTATGGTGCGGAAGGATTCGGGTTCGAGCCCTGATGGAGACATGGGTGTGTGTATTTGTCAATGATTTAATTAGTTAAATGGTGATAATTCTTGGGTAATGTACGGTGTTAACGGTGTTAATGTAGGTCCACTGAATTAAGAAAAGAAAACAAAGGCAGTGAAAGACGCTTAAAATTGCGAAATCATTACTCAAATTTTTTTTTCAGAAATAATATAAAAGTAACAACATTAAATTAAATTAAACTCTTGGCTCAATGTTTCAAGATTATATTTAACAAGGATTTGTCAACATGTTTCGAGCTCATGTAAACGAAACATGTTGAAAATTCATGTTGTTAAATATAATCGTGAAACGTCTAATTTGATTCAATATTTAATTATGTTTTATCAGGAGTTAAGCGAGAATTCAATCTCAGTCATTAAAGCTTACAACATTTGGATCATGACCTGAAATAGCTTGAAGCCAAATCTATTTCACAAAAAAACACGGAAAGGATTAGAAATTCCTCAAGGATGTATGAGAGGCAGAAACATTTTTTTGAAAAACTTATATATTTTGTGTAGGATGCTTCTGTGATCGTTAACGTTCAGTATCAAAAAATCATTTGAGTAGATCAAATATTCTGTTATACATGGTCTGGTTCGTTTCGTGAAGTTTGATTTTGTATTTCACATAATTACTTGGGTTGTTTTAATCGAAAAAAAACTTGAATCGATAAAATAATTTTTTGTTGAAACGAAAAAACAAGAAACTTATTTTAGAGTAAGAAATTAAAAATGAAAAGGCTGAAGATAAAAAGAAGGCTGTTTCATAGAAACCTCGTCTGAAAACGAATTATTCGAAATAATTAGTTCAAAAACCTAACGCAATATGTTCACGAATTTATATTTCAATTGAATAAACTGAAGCTCCCGAATAACATACAACACAATAATATATCAGATCGTTTTTCTCTATATTCGAATTACGAATGTCTGGCAACAAACGGAAACCAACAAATTCTTTTATCGGATAATACTCTATGTGAAAAATTTTTTAATACTTGTTTCTCAATAAATAAAGAAGAGTTGCATTATTCCAACGTTTTCGAAATTTCAGGAGCGTATGTCACAGTGGGTGTTGGGTCACTGGCAATGCCAGCTGAAAATGTTTCTATCATAATTCAGTTCTTTTATTTTCATCTTGTTATGAGTCGATCTGCTGTCGAATTGAGGGATCCTACTTCTCTCGTTCGCAGTATTACAAGTTAGATAAAATAAACTTGTAAATTCTTGGTTGAAATGTGATAAACTTTCCCTTGAGTACGTTAGGCATGTCAGATCAAAAATTTGTCTACCTATATATATATATATATATATATATATATATATATATATATATATATATATATATATATATATATATATATATATATATATATATATATATATATATATATATATATATATATATATATATATATATATATATATATATTATATATATATATTTGAAAGTTTTTAGCATTAACAGGCTTTTTTAATATGAAAAAGTTTATTTCTGTTGACGTTTCGTTGTTATATTACAACTTTGTCAAAACTAATGAATAATTGAATTTATGAGTTACTATGGATATCAAATGTCAAACTTAATTTTTTGAAAAATCAAATTAGTTTTTTTGTATATTCACTTATTGATTTTCATTATCAGAGGAATAAATAAATTAATAAATTGAATTATTAAATCAATTTCAAGAAATTTATATATATATATATATATATATATATATATATATATATATATATATATATATATATATATATATATATATATATATCACACAAATTCACTACAAGAAGTACTGTAGTTCTCGTGCTATATTATCGCATTTGTAGATATTTGCTATCAAAGTACACTATAACTTTCTTTGCATAATTTTTTTGAGAAATTATTCAATAGAACATTACAGCTGAGTATGTGAAACATGAACAATGCGATGTGTGCTATGATTTCTAATTTTTCTAATTTCTAATGATTTCTAGGGGAAATGTTAGAGAATCTTGAAATCGATGACTACATTTATTGAAAGCGTGAGATAGTCAATGTTTCGTACTACTACTCATCAGTCACGCATCAGTTTTCCTTGTAGTGGATTTCTGACATGTTTTGAGAAATAACAACGAGCGTTTCTACAACTGCAACCTAGGTTTCGCATTCCTCAATAAAATTTCAAAATTTTCAATTAATGCAGAAGGATTTCATTAATATTGATACTAGAGATTTTTACTAAACTTTCACAGAAAACTTGCGAGGGTACCAAGCGCCCAGTCTTTGTTTCAAAAAATCCGATGGCTCGTTGGAAACTAACACAAAAAATAACTGCAAAATGTTAGCCGAATACTTCAGCGCCCTTCTCAACAGCAATCCACCCCAAGAAAAACTTAAGTACGACATTTCGGGGTTTACGCATCCTGACTCGCAAACCCCTGATATGGAAGAGATTACGGCAATAATCAAGCAACTCAAAAACAACAAAGCAGCAGGAGGAGATGGGATTCTTGCGGAACTCTGGAAACTCAACAATTCTATTTTGACGCAAAAACTTCATCATTTAATATCAGAAATCTGGACTTTGAAGATGATATTACAGATGAGGAAATGTAGAAATACAGTGATCACATTCATTGACTTCAAGAAAGCATATGATTCGGTAGACCGCGAAATCCTTTTGAAATCATGAAAGAATTTGGAATCGATCGAAAGACCCGAAAAATTATAGAACAGACACTTACAGGTACAACTTCCAAGGTAAAATTTATGGGAGAAGTATCATATCCCTTCGAAATCACAACCAGTGTGCGGCAAGGGGACGGACTTTCGCCAATTCTTTTTCAATATTTCTTACAAAAGACCATTTGGGAATGGGAACTTCACGTAAAGGGCATACAAGTGGGTATCAAAAAAGAAAATAGAATGAATGTCAAATGTTTCGCCTTTGCAGATGATATTGCTATCATCACAGACAACAGAACTGAAGCCATTCTCGCTATAGAAAAACTACATGAAATTGCGCGGAAAACCGGGTTACAAATTTCTTATGATAAAACCAAATACAAGGAAAGAAAACCAAAAAAATAAATCCTCTCTTATCACAAAATATGGTGAAATTTTGCAAGTCGACCATTCAAAATATCTCGGGGCAGTTATACAGTCCTCAGGTTTAAACCGAATCGCTAATGAACAGAGAATTACCAACTAACATAGGCTCACTATAATAAAAAAAACATTTCGGGAGGCGCCAAATTGAGGCATTTGAAAAAACACAACGATTCTTCCAAAAGCAATCTACGCATCTTAAACAATGGTTTTTGGTGGCCATTCAAGAATTAGAGAAATAGAAAAACAAGAACGAAAAATTCTCAGAAAGATTCACGGGTCAATCAACAGAAACGGCATTTGGACGAAAAGACCTTAGAGTGAACTGTATCAAAAGACAAATACGATAACGGAAGAAATCAGAAAACGACGAGCAAAGTTCTATGCACATGTCTACAGAATGAAACAGTCCAGAATACCGAAGAAACTACTCGATATAACTATGAATAGTAAATGCTGAACAGAGTGGCTAAAAGAGGTCCAGAAGGATCTACAACAGATCAATATAAATAATCTCGAAGATCGCACTGAATGTCGCTATTAAATCGCACATGTGAAGTCTGAGCAAAAGTCAAATTGTCAACCTGCAGTAAAATGGACAGATGAACCGAAGAAAGAGCAGTCAGAGAGGATGAAGCGTTTTTGGGAGGCAAAAAAGATGAAGCAAAATTCCTAATAATTTCGAATTCAAGCTCAGTCACTCTCCTCATGAGGAACAATCGTAATAATAATAATATATATATATATATATATATATATATATATATATATATATATAAATATATATATATATATATATATATATATATATATATATATATATATATATATATATATATATATATATATATATATATCCTCATCGTACACTTTCTAATAACTTTCATTATGTATTTGGATATTGTTTCACTAAAATGATAAAATTGTAACATGAAAATTCACTTTTGAAATACATAGCACATGCCAATACCTCTTTTGCTATTAAATCCGATATTGCTGCTGTGCATGACTAATTCTTGGTTTCAGAATCCGAAACAACCTTCAGATTCCATCTATTAGAACTAGTTCCTGAGAGATACAACAGTCAACACTTTTTACATCTTTTATTTGTTTATAGTTTTCTTTGCAATTGTCACTTCGAACAATTGGATGAAAAAACTCATGCATGCGTGCATTTATGAACTGAAACATAAGGATCTTAGTATTCATAACAACTTGAAATCTCTTTCCACTTGACTTTTCACCATGTATTTCAATAGGGTAATCAGATTTCATAATGATTTTCCATCGACCTTGACCTCGATCTGCAATGGTTTTCAAGATCTGATTGAACTACGCTTCCTATTATTCAATGATGTATGCCAAATTTTCTGTGAAGCAATATAACTCTCTGAGGTGGCTGTTCAGTTGTATGCTCATGTCAGTCAAAAACCATCACCTGAAAAGTACTTAAAATAATTTCTCAAAATAAAGCTTTTTAAGCACAAATTTGCTTCATTAGGCGCAACTTGATGTGCAATGAAGCGTGTAATATTTCTTCTTTCGTTACAGAAGCTTCGCTGATTACGTTCTGTTGTTCTTGAATCATGGCGTCTCTCCAAAAAACAGCTTTTTCTGATCCAGTGTGGATTTTCAATTTAACTTTTCTGAAGACGCAAAGAACGGGTATATTTTGTATTAACCCTTTACTATATGAAGAGTTAGTAGTAAACCATTTTCAAGTCAACATATTCTGCACATTGCTGTTCTTTGAATTTGATGTCTATCGAAAATAATGGAATAGTTTCATAATATTTCTCATAAGATTGGAATCGAGTACGACCAACCAAGAAAGCTTTTGATTGCTATATCCGTTCAAGAATGAAATGAGCCATTCAGAATTCCGGTTAACTAAGAATAGATCGA